TCCGTAGGGTGTATCATCTCTGTCTTCTTTTAATGTCTTTGTAGTAATTTACATGACTTCTACTTTTTATACGTTTTTGTCAATGGAAATTATGGAGGCTTAGAACTAGAGTAGTGGAGTAGTGTTGTCTTTGTTTAGGTTTTAACCCATTTTATTTATTCCTTATCGTAGCTTACTATCTTTGACTTTTGTGTATCATTCTCTTCATGTTTCCTCTTTTTAAATTTTGTCGGTTCTTACGTTTCTGTCTATTGCAGAGATTCTTATGCAGGGATTTATTTGCAAGGATTACTTCTCATTTACAAACGCGCATATTGAAGACTGCATTATTAACACTGTTCAACTATGTATTTATTTATTTAACTATACATGCATTGCATTCTATCTTTATTTTTAATTTTCTGACTGCCGGAGGTCTTCCACGGAAGTTGCCTTCAACCTGGCGTTGAGGCAGCCTACTACCCTACCTCCCCCTTACTCCATTGTATATGGGAATAGGGTTTTGTTGTCGTTGTTGTTGTTTGGAAAGAGACAAAGTATAGATACCAAAAAGAAATAAAAGTAATAATTTAAGTACTAAACATGTAGTTTACCTTATTTAAGAATGGACGTGGCAGATTCTTATTCGTCATTTTAAAATCTCAAATGGAAAGCCATGCAGCATCTAATCCACATCTTGTACGTTCTATATTGACGTGGCAGATTCTTATTCGTCATTTTAAAATCTCAAATGGAAAGCCATGCAGCATCTAATCCACATCCTGTGCCTTCTATATGCAAACTTCTCTGAACGCGACATTGTTCATTCGTAGTACGTCGAAGCTAAATTAAACACACACAAAAAACGCCCAAAAAAAAAAACCCTCCCGAAATTCTTACATGGTATCAAAAAACCCGAATCCGGCCGTGGGATTTTACCTGGATCCGACTGGAATGGCGTTGCCAGGACTGGGACACTTCGCCACCACCGACGCGGCGGCGGCGGCGGCTTCTACGGTTTCATCTTCCGAAGATCCGAATAAGAAAATCCGAAAGCCATACACCATAACCAAGTCCAGAGAGAGCTGGACTGAACCCGAACACGACAAGTTCCTCGAGGCTCTCCAGCTGTAAATTCTAAAACCGTTTTTCTCTCTAATTAATTATACGAAATTTCTCCGATTCTCTTCCGAATTAGGGTTTTGGCTCTCTTTTTTCTTTTGGAAATTGCTTACAGTTGTTGATTGCTTGAGTGTCAGTTTTAAGGATTTCACTTGAATTTGATGTTGAAGGCTTATTTATTGCTAAATTGAAATTTCTGAAATGTTTTTTTAAAAGTTTTATAGGTATTAATTGAAAGTAAGATGAGGATTGATTTGTAATGGACAACTGAGGAAGACAAATGAGATGACATTTTTTGTTATATGTATTGAAGTATATGTTTCTTCATATGTCGGTTAGGTTTAGGGTTCTTATATGAACTGAAAAGGCACTGAATTACAGTAAGCCTTTTCCACATATTCGCAAGATGACACTGGAACCTTGCAAGCGTTTAAACTGTTATAGTAGAATATGTTTGACGATTTAGTGGAGATATACTAGTTTTATGTTGTTTGATTTTGCATGACAGTTGAGAAGGTCCTGCTCTCATTTCTTGTGCTTGTTTTCTTGATTATTGTCAGATTTGATCGTGACTGGAAAAAGATTGAAGCGTTCGTCGGGTCAAAGACTGTTATTCAGGTAAACTGAAATGTATCTAACCTTTTTCCTTGGTTAATTTTTGTTCTGCAGGTTGAAAAGGAAAAAAAGGCAGGAGGGTGGTTTAGGAATGAACGATTTCTATTTTTTTTTATCATAGTTAGGATCTCTCCCAAGGATCCTACACTTTCCGATGTTTCAGTAAGCCCAATAGATTTGTGAGGATGTGAAAACCAGTGTAGCTTCTAATTAGAGGTTGTTTGTTTTTAACAATTCTGTGTGTTTAGCAATGCCCATAATAAACATTTAAAATGAAGTGCCATTTTTTTGTTTTTGTAGATTCGTAGTCATGCTCAGAAGTATTTTCTAAAGGTTCTGAAGAATGGAACAAATGAACAGCTACCTCCACCTCGACCTAAAAGGAAATCAGCTCATCCATATCCTCAGAAAGCCTCAAAAAATGGTAAGAATATTTTATCCCAAGTACGAGTAGTAATCGGAGAACAATCTAAACATAAGAAATCCTGTCTCTCTGTGTCACATCTGGCAGCTCGTACACACCCACAAATATCGGGGTCTTTTCAGTCATCAACTGCTTTAGTTGACATTGGTTATGGTCTAAGATCTGATTCCTCACTGATGCTTATGGACCCTGTTACTACCGCTGCATCATCTTCCTGGACAAACAATGAACTATCAATTTCTCACAAGCTAAAAAGGGTTTCTTATTCTTCCTAATTCTATCATTCTGACAACGAACACATTTATGGTGGCAGACTCTCAGAGGTTAAGGTTTTGATTATGTGTCATATACTTTCAATTATAGGTCCTGTGATGGCCAATAAGCCTTGTGGTAGCATCGATAGTACCCCAAAGCCTCGACAAACTGGGGAAATAGATAATCAGGGAAATAATGGCCATGCACTAAGAGGTTTGTATTAGTGCTAATTGAAAACTGTGATTGTTTATCTTATTTTATCCTCAGACCCTTTGAAATGGCTTTTTGCTTCATGCAGTCTTACCTGATTTTGCTCAAGTAGTTTTATTGCTAGTGTCTTTGATCCAAACACTACTGGTCATCTGCAGAAACTTAAAAAGATGGATCCCATAGACGTTGAAACTGTAATCCTTTTTTTAACCATGACATTTTATATAATCTTGCCTGATCATGCCTTTGACGTCTTTGCTTATTTTTCTTTCTCCTATTCAGGTTCTTTTGTTGATGAGAAACCTCTCCATCAATCTGACAAGCCCTGATTTTGAGGATCATGTGAGTTTCTAGATCTTTCTAATGATTGCTTGTTCCTCCAGGGTGAGGCAACTAGATTAGTAGAAGTAGTGATGTTAGTACTTAGTATCCTCCTTTTCTATGGTAGGTGTCCTTGTTGTAGTTTGTCTTTTTATAATGGGTCGAATGGTTGAATACCCAGGAATTTCTTTTGGCAGATACAATTTGATTTGCACATTCCTGCCTATAACATAAATTCAGGGACAGCTCTCTGCTTTCTTCCATTTGGACTACAATTAGTTTTAACGTATCAAGTATTTAGAAATATGGCAGTTTGACCTAAAAGAATGATGAATTCTTTTGATATTGTAGATCTATCTTGGGCGTAATGCTCTGTTGTATTATATATATTTGTCTTGTTCGAATTTGTTTGATGATACTTTCTCATACTTTGGGGTGATGCAGAGAAAGCTGCTTTCTTCCTATGAGATCGACACAGAGACAAACTACCATGGTGGTGCATGTAAAGCTGTTGGTTCTTGATACTTATCGGTGTAGAAGAATTACTTAATAAGGTTGGTGATGGTTTTTGCTTTGCTTTAACTCTTTCTGTTTGTTCTTCATACTCTTTTATTTCGTATATAATTAAATATGAACTCTTTCTTTCATAGCAAGAAGGGCTTAGAATCAAAAGGGTCCTATACTGTATGATGTTCCGTTAGTATATTTATTGTTGTTAGGACCTCCGGCTGCTTTCCAAATAAATTTCCTCGTTCTGCGGCCATGTATGTAAAAAAAAGGAGAAGAGGGTGCAGCAGAATGAAAGAAGAAGAATTGCGAAGAGAGTGTATAGTGCTTATCTTTTTTGGTTTTGGTTTTTGAAGGGGTATTTTTGTACAATGTCCTGTCTTCTGTATTTAAGTTTTGACAGCTTGTTTTATGGTGAAATCCTATGTTGGTATTTGGACCACAGAATGCTGCTCTGCTTTGGGTTATATACAAGTATCGGTTTTTTTCATCGTTTGTTGTATTCTGTGTACTGCACGAACGGGTATTAAAATGGTGAGTGATGTTTTAGGATTATTGTCTTATTCGCTTACGGTAAAAACGTATTCTACAAATGGGCTTATATTGATATTATATATTTTATTTAGACTTTTAAGCTTTAGGATTTAAAATTTAGAATCATTTAAATATATCAAATGACACATTCAAATAGACATATTTATAGATTATGCTTGTGGAAAGTGCGTTGTAGATGGGAAAAGGTCAAATTTTTATAATTACTTTGTAGTGTATCTTTTTTGAAACTTGTATTTTCAGTTTCGGAGTTAAATTTATCATTAATTTTATAGATGCTTATTATGATCAAGACTGAATACATTAAACTATAAGTTCCTTTTTGGATTCGCCTTTGCCTTAGGTTCCCCTTTCAATGGCGGCTTGATTGGTCGCCACCATTTGGCCTTACAATCCATTCCTTCTGCTTCCTTTGATTATTTGGGCTTTTGCTGTTTCAGCTGTGCAGGGATTGCCAGTGGCTCCATGACTGAAAGAACATAAAGTATTCATCATTTTTCTCGGGTTTTGTTTACCCTGTTGTTTCTCATCGATTCTGGGCGAGAGCTACTGGGTTATTGACTTTGCCTGTTCATGTCAGTTGCTTTACGTGGTCATAACGCAACGCTTGTTCTTAATTTAACAAAATAAATTTCGAACTACACTTCTAGAAACCATGACGAGAAATGGAGCGCACTGGGGAAAACGGCTGTCACCGCAACTTTAGGCGGATGCCCAGGGTGTTTACTACCCTTCTTAGGAGAAGGATTTCACGTAGTCATTGGAATGTAACCGAAGTTTGAGTGATTTAAGGTGGCTCAGTTACATACCAATGATATGGTGCATGGGGTTCCTTCACCGATTTATACTTGATCCCCGGGTGAGTTTTCTTAAAGAAAATTTTATCATGGAATCATTCGCAAGATACTAAAGAAAATGAACAAAAAAACCGATTAATATTTCCACACTTAATATTTAGACAACTGGTGGAACTTCAAGACATTTGTTTTTTTATGAATTTAGGATATAACAAACAGAGAAGACAAGGACAGAATCCACCTTTATCAAAACAGAACAACGAAACTCACATCCATAAAGAAATTTCACTTAATATATTTTTTTACGGTTTCAATCTACCTCCTCCATCTTGCTTACCTCAGCTTCATCTTCCTCGAGAGCAGGCATGTCAGCATCATCAACACCGGTTTCATCCTCATCATCGATGCTCAGACCCAGCTTCAGCATTCTATGGATTCTAGCCGCGAATGTGTTCGGATCATCCAGGCTGAACCCATAGGTCAAAAGCGCGGTCTCAAACAGCAGCAGCACAAGATCCTTGACCGACTTATCGTTCTTATCAGCCTCAGCTCTCTTCCTCAGCTCTTCCATGATTCCATTGTCGGGATTGATTTCCATAGTCTTCTTGCTTGACATGTATGAACTCATGCTGTTATCCCTCAGGGCCTGAGCTTTCATAATCCTTTCCATGTTAGCTGTCCACCCGTACTCTCCGGTAACCAGACAGCAAGGCGAATCGACAATCCTGTCGGAGACTACAACCTTCTCCACTTTGTCTCCTAGAATATCCTTAATAGTCTTGCAGAGATCCTCAAAAGACTTTTTTCTCTCCTCTTTTTTCTTTTTCTCTTCCTCAGTCTCGTCTTCTAGCTTCAGACCTTCCTTTGTGGCGGAGACGAGCTTCTTGCCATCGTATTCCTTTAACTGTCCAACGGCATACTCATCAATGACATCGACCATGAAAAGAACTTCGTATCCTTTCTTCTTCAGTTTCTCCAAGAACGGGGAGTTCTCCACTGCCTTCTTGCTTTCACCAGTGATGTAATAAATGTCTCTCTGCCCCTCCTTCATTCTGGTGACGTAATCCTTCAAACCTGTCAACTCATCGCCACTCTTGGTCGAGTGGTATCGAAGAAGGTCGGCTAACTTGGCCCTGTTTTGGCTGTCTTCATGAATACCCAACTTCAGGTTCTTCGAAAAAGACTCGTAGAATTTGTTGTAGTCCTCCTTGTTCTCAGCGATCTCATTGAACATCTCAATGCACTTTTTCACAATGTTTTTCCTGATCACCTTCAAAATCTTGTTCTGTTGTAACATCTCACGAGAGATGTTGAGTGGCAAGTCATCCGAGTCGACGACACCTTTCACAAATCCAAGGTACTCGGGGATAAGTTCCTCACAGTTGTCCATAATGAACACCCTCCTAACATACAGCTTGATGTTGTTCATCTTCTTCCTAGTGTCAAAGAGATCAAACGGAGCTCGCTTTGGTACAAAGAGAATGGCCTTGAACTCAAGCTGTCCTTCAACCGAGAAATGCTTGACGGCCAGATGTTCCTCCCAATCATTAGTCAAGCTCTTGTAGAAAGAGGCATACTCATCTTTAGTGATCTCCTCCGGCTTACGCAACCAGATCGGTTTTTGCTTGTTGATTAGTTGCCATTCATGAGACACTTCCTTGATCTTCTTCTTCTTCTTTGATTTGTTCTCCTCCTCATCGACATCCTCCACATTTCCTTCCTCATCTTTCTTTGGTTCATCATCTTCATCGTCGCTGATCTCTTTCTCGGTTGTCTTCTCTGTCCAGAGATACATTGGGTAGCTAATGAACTCGGAGTGCTTCTTCACTAGGTCCTTGATCCTCCTCTCCTCCAAGTACTCTAACTGCAAATACAATCGGCAAACAACAATTAAACTTTCCAAGATTATACAGATTAAATCTTATAAACTTTAGTTGAAAACAAGCTAAATATTTACCTGATCTTCCTTAAGGAAAAGAGTAATCTTAGTACCCCTACCAAGTTGCTCCCCACCGACATCCCCCGTGACAGTGAAGGAGCCACCAGCTTGGGACTCCCAAATGTACTGCTCATCATCATTGTGCTTTGTGGTCACAATGACTTTCTCAGCAACGAGGTAAGCAGAGTAGAAACCAACACCGAATTGTCCGATCATGCTCACATCGGCTCCAGCTTGCAATGCCTCCATGAACTCCTTGGTTCCAGACCTTGCAATCTGTTAACGAAAATGGGTAAAGAAAACGAAAGAACACGAGAATTTTACGAGGTTCGGCAATGTGCTTACGTCCTCGGTGCCTAGGCGGCGCTAGAAGTTTTATTCAATGATATTTTAGGTCTAGGTTACATCTCTATTTATAATAGAAAACCCTGGTACATAATTACAAAATCAACCCTGTACCGTACCGCGGGGGCTGCGCCCCCACACCCCCAACCCACATAATTCGTAACCCCACAACGAGACTTTTTATGAGCCATACATAACAAATCTCCACCTTGGCGAATATCCTGCCCCTTGGAAACTTCAATGTGGGTTGGGTTACCTTGCTTCTTTAACAACTCGAAACATTCAACAAGTCCAAGCAATGCTTGAACTTGTCTGTCGTAACTGGCTTGGTGAACATATCAGCGGCATTCTCATCAGTATGTACCTTCTGAAACAAAACCTCTCCAGATGCAACCAACTCTCTGATCTTGTGGAACCTTACATCAATATGTTTAGTTCTAGCACGATACACCTGATTCTTAGCCAAGTGAATAGCACTTTGATTATCACAAAGCAACTGAACTCCACCTTGTTGAACACCCAACTCCTTCACTAAACCAGTAAGCCATAAAGCTTCTTTTGCAGCTTCAGCCGCTGCCATGTATTCAGCTTCAGTTGTAGATAGTGCCACGACAGATTGAACAGTAGACTTCCAGCAAATAGGCCCTCCACCAAGAGTAAACACATACCCTGTCGTAGATCTTCTATTATCCAAGTCACCTGCATAATCTGAATCCACATATCCTACAACCAAAGGATTATCCCGCTGACTCCCAAAAACAATTCCATGTCCCACAGTACCCTTTAAGTACCGAAAGATCCACTTGACTGCATCCCAATGTTGCTTACCAGGTTTAGACATGTACTTACAAACTTGACTAACAGCATGAGCTAAATCAGGACGAGTACATACCATCGCATACATCAAGCAGCCAACAGTATTAGAATACGGAACCTTTGCCATATTTTCAGCTTCCTTATCTGTCTTAGGGCACTGTTCTGATGAGAGCTTAAAGTGATTCGCCAATGGAGTGCTAACTGGTTTCGCGCTGCTCATCGCAAACCTTTCTAGCATTTTCTCAACATAACCCCGTTGAGATAGCCGCAGTTTCCTTGAGTCTCTGTCCCTGCAAATTTCCATTCCAAGAATTTTCTTTGCAGCACCTAAATCTTTCATATCAAATTCATGACTCAATAAAGTTTTCAAACCGATAACATCATCCATGTTCTTCGCAGCAATCAACATATCATCAACATACAGTAATAGAAAAATAAAAGAACCATCATCAAGGCTCTTAACATAGACACAACAATCATACTCACATCGGTTGTAGCCAATCTTGATCATATAGGAGTCAAACCGTTTATACCACTGTCTCGGAGACTGTTTTAACCCGTACAAAGATTTCTTCAATCTGCAAACTAAATGCTCGTTTCCAGGTTGAGTGAAACCTTCAGGTTGCCGCATGTAGATCTGCTCCTCTAAATCACCATGCAAAAAAGCAGTTTTAACATCCATCTGCTCTAAATGCAAATCCCAACTAGCCACCAATGCAAGTACTGCTCGGATTGAAGTGTGCCTGACCACAAGAGAAAAGATTTCATCATAATCAACTCCTTTCTGCTGTGAAAAACCCTTCGCTACCAAACGAGCCTTGAACTTCTCCCCCTCTTTTTCTGTTACTGCTGGTTTCTTCTTATACACCCATTTGCAACCAATCGGCTTCTTACCCTCAGGAAGGGGAACTAACTCCCATGTGCGATTGTGATTCAAAGACTTCATCTCCTCAACCATGGCTGCCATCCACTTGTCGTTTTCCTGACTAGTAACGGCATCATGAAAAGTAACCGGATCATCACTGCTAACAATAAGTGCAAAAGATACCAAGTCTTCAAAACCCAATCTGTTCGGAGGCTTTATATTCGTCCGTCTCACCCTGTCTCTGGCGAGACTATAATCCTGCAAATCATCCGTAGTGGAACCACCAGAAGTCCGTTGAGAAGTTTCTGGTTTCTCAACTGGAAACTGCTCGAAATCCACCACTGTCGTGTCTTGCTTCTGCTGCAACATGGATTGTTCATCAAAAACGACATCTCTACTAATCACAACTTTCTTCGCAACTGGATCCCAGAACTTGAATCCTTTGACACCTTTCTTGTAACCCAGAAAAATGCACTCCTTTGATTTTGCATCAAGTTTGGATCTCTCATCAGCAGGTACATGCACATAAGCAGGACAACCAAAAATCCGTAAGTTATCAAAACTAACATCATGACCAGTCCATACCTCTTCTGCAACTTTCCCAGCCAGCGATGCCCTTGGCGATCTGTTGATAAGGTAACACGCCATGTTAACAGCCTCAGCCCAGAAGTGTTTGGGAAGCCCCGCATTCAACCGCAAACATCTGGCTCTTTCATTCAACGACCTGTTCATTCGTTCCGCAACACCATTCTGTTGTGGTGTCTTGCGCACTGTAAAATGCCTCTGAATCCCATGCTCCTTACAGAATTGTAGGAACCGTGAATATGTGTACTCCGTACCATTATCAGACCGCAAACACTTGATTTTTCGTCCTGTTTGGTTTTCTACCTCAGCTTTCCACAGCTTGAACTTCTCAAAAACTTCAGATTTCTGTTTCAAAAAATACACCCAAACTTTCCGTGAAAAATCATCAATAAAAGTAACATAGTACCTAGATCCACCCAAAGACGATGTCGTGGAAGGCCCCCATACATCAGAATGCACATAATCAAGAATCCCTTGAGTTGTGTGCTTCGCAGTCTTGAAACGAACTTTAGTCTGTTTACCAAGAACACAATACTTGCAAAAGTCGAGCTTACAGTTTTTGACACCATGCAACAAGTTTCTCTTGTGTAATTCTGCCATACCACGTTCACTAAGATGAGCAAGGCGCATATGCCACAATTTTGTCGTATCATCACAGGACTCAACAGAGTGAACTCCACCTGCAACGGTACTCCCTAACAATCTGTAGATATTCCCTGCAGTCATCTTGCCTTTCATCACAGTCAATGCTCCTTTAACAATCCGAATGGTTTCCCTATCCTCGTCAGCCTTAGGGATAAAACCATTCTTGTGTAAAGTGCCCAAGGAAATCAAATTCTTCTTCAAGTCTGGGATATGTCGAACACCACTCAACGTCCGAACGGAGCCATCGTGTATCTTAATTCTGACATCACCAATACCAACAATATTGCAACATCGATCATCACCCAAATAAACCGAACCAGAATTAACCGGCCTGTATGTCGAAAACCATTCCCTATTTGGCGTGATGTGATAAGAACATCCAGAATCAAGAATCCAAGCATCCGTCAATTGTGTCGTTGAAATAGAAAGCATATCACCCTCACTGCAATCAGAATTATCATCCTCGACCACGTTCACAGACTTGGATGAGCCATCACGCTTCTCATCTGTCTGCTTTTTCAACTTCGGACAGTCTCGCTTCATATGTCTCGCCTCCTTGCACTTGTAACAGTGAATCGTCTTCTTATCCCTGGATTTGGATCTGGAATTCCGCTTCCCAGACCCTGCCTTCTCTGGCTTCCGTCCACGATCTCGATTACCCTTGACATATAAGCTATCGGCTTGAGAGCTTTCCCCTGTATTCTGCTTCCGCTGGTTGTGAGCCAACAAGGCTGCAGTAATCTCCTCAACGTTGATAGTCTCTTTCCCATATGTAAGAGTAGTCACCATGTGTTCGTAAGAGGAAGGCAACGAACACAACAGAATCATCGCTCTGTCTTCATCCTCAATTTTCACATCAAGCCGAGCCAGATCAGAAACGATTTGATTGAAGACATTCACGTGTTGCGCCAAATCGTGATCGTCCTGCATCTTCAGCCCATACAGCCGTTGCTTCAGATACAGTTTTGTCGTTAAGGATTTGGACATAAACTGACTTTCCAACTTCCTCCAAATTTCGTCTGGAGACGATAGATGCATGACGTGATACATGACCTCGTCCGCCAAGCATAATCGTATGGTTCCTGCCGCTCGCTGCTGCAATTCTTCCCAATCTTCCTTATCCATCGACGCCGGCTTTGTAGATCGCAAAGCCTTCAAGATCCCTTGCTGCGCCAATAGATCCTTCACCCTCGTTTGCCATAATCCGAAGTTACCCTGACCATCGAATTTCGCGACTTCGAATTTTGCTCCTGACATCTGATACCAATTGTTGACGAAAACGGGTAAAGAAAACGAAAGAACACGAGAATTTTACGAGGTTCGGCAATGTGCTTACGTCCTCGGTGTCTAGGCGGCGCTAGAAGTTTTATTCAATGATATTTTAGGTCTAGGTTACATCTCTATTTATAATAGAAAACTCTGGTACATAATTACAAAATCAACCCTGTACCGTACCGCGGGGGCTGCGCCCCCACACCCCCAACCCACATAATTCGTAACCCCACAACGAGACTTTTTATGAGCCATACATAACACAATCGTACCCAAGTTGTTCACCAAATCTGAATTTTCAAACAACAAAGCAATTAAGAAGCTGTGGCAATACAAATTACAGCATATCAAGTAATTTTTACCATAATCTAAGCTACATTACCTGCTTTAGTCATGCCAATGCCACTGTCGATGATGGAGAGGGTCTTGTTAACCTTGTCCGGCACAAGCCTAATGAAAAGCTCCGGTTGAGCATCTAACTTGCTCTTATCAGTCAGGCTCTCATATCGGATTTTATCCAGAGCCTGTAACACAACATAACCAAAATAATTAGGCAATCTCATTCAACAAACACAAACAGAACGAGTGAAAAATTCCTTAAAATATTTCTTGTTTACTACAAAATCAAATTCGCTTGATTTAAATTCATCGTAATATTCAAACAATAAATCGATCTTCTAGACGCAGAGATCATCATTCAACAGCAAAAGAATGTCTACCAAAGAGCTATCTACTAGGCCTATCGCCACAATCTATACCTTAAGCATATATATATATATATATATATATATATATATATATATATATATATGCTTCAAATTTTCAAAGAGCACTAAAGCAGTAACAGAGACGAAGAATACGTACGTCAGAAGCATTGCTAATAAGCTCACGAAGGAAAATCTCCTTATTACTGTAAAAAGTATTGATGATCAAGCTCAGAAGCTGGTTGATCTCGGCCTGAAAGGCGAATGTCTCTGCATCAGCCATCAGCACGTCTGCCATTGCCTCGTACGCAACCAAAGGAACCAAACAGAAAATGCAGATTTGGAAATTTTTAGCGAAGGAAAGCTAAGAATTTAGCGTAATGGAACTGATACTTTGCTTGCTAAGAGAGAACAATCGTGATGTGAGGAGAAAAGATTTGAAGGTATTTATATATTGAAACCAGGTTCTAGTCCCTTCGATGATATATTAGCAACATTGGGGCGGGAATGGGGTTCTCGATGGTTCTATGAAACGATGCCGTTCCAGTGTTGTTTTATGAAAGTTTTGTTGATTATTCAGGGGGGAAGTTTTCGTTCCTACCGGAAACTGAGGCAATTCGAGAAAGTTCGTGATAGCTATGACTGATTGACTGTCTCGAATGTTCCAATCGGGTAACCGTTTGAGATTTTCGTTGACGTAGATTTCGCACGTGGTAGTATGGAGTACACACTACCCTCATGTTAAATTTGTCGAATAATTATAAAATTATTTGAAATATACTCAAATAATTATTATGGTTAATAATTTTTTTAAGAATTATAAAATTATCATTAAATTTATTAAATAATTATAAAAAAATTATCATTAAATTTATCTAAAATGATCATAAAATTTTATCATATTATTATAAAAAATGTCATTAAATTTATCAACTTCTATAATACTAAAATAATTATTTTATAAAATTAATAAAATAATATCATTATAATATAAAATAATATATTTTAACATACGATAAACATTTATATATATATATATATATATACTTCACACATCTAAACATTCAACCGAACATAAGAGATCTTTTACACTATACTTATATATATAGAATATATGAGGTCCAATATAAGCAGCAAAGGATCAAGTAAACTAAAAGATTATTAGAAGTTGGCGCTGATAGAACAAGTCTTCAACTCGACATCTTCGATGGGCAGCCTATCCTTAGGGAAGGGACACTCGATTTCCTTTTGAGGCAACAAACCACATGGTTCGGGGCTCACACGGTTGGTAACTCCCTGAATCTCGGTACAGTTCCATTGCACTTCTTTTGGCTTGGCGGTCAGTTTGATGTCGACGTTTGAAATGCAGATATCGGTGAAAGGATGTCTTCCGATTCCATCCAGTTGTGCCGAGAGGGTGACATTATCTGCCACAATGTCCCTGTAATTGATTCCTTCGATTACGGGGAATGCATTCGGGTCGAACTGGTCGCCCAGATGCGATCCATAATCACCTGTCATCCAGAACACGTACTTCATTGTATTCAATGTCATGTTTCTAACATAAATGTTTTTAACATAAGCTCCTCTTCCCCCTCCAGTTTTGATCCTCACACCTGATTCTGTATTAATCGCTTTAATGTCTTCGGCTCTTACGTCTTCGATCCCACCGGACATTTCACTCCCGAGAGCGATGGCGGCGCTGCTAGGAGAAATGCAGGTGAACCTTCTGATCACTAGTTGCTTGGTTGGCATGTTGAATTTGATACCGTATTCGTCCCAACCACTTTTAACGGCGATGCAGTCATCTCCGGAGACGACAAAACTGTCATCTATTCGGGTGTTCATACACGAATCTAGAATAAAACAAATAACAGCATCAAAGGCTCATATCAACTATTGACAGAACTGTGCTGAGTGCAAAAAAAAAAACAAACCTGGGTCTATTCCATCTGTATTAGGAGAATCAACTGGTGCAGAACAGTCGAGTGTTGGATGATTATATCACTACAAAATTCAGCATTCAATCAAATATGATGTTTTGATTTCATGGGGATAATTAAGTGTTTATTAGAGACTAAACCAACCTGCTGTATACGGGATGAACATTCCATGACGGCGAGTTAACCAACGTTAGATTCGTTATCTGAACCTGTTTCGAATACATGATCTCAATCATGTAGGGTCTTGTTACAGTCATTTTGTTCTCCTTGAACTGCTTCCACCAGTAGGCACCTTGGCCATCAATGGTGCCGTTATTACCTTGCGTTACAAGCCATGTAATCTCCCCCATTTAGTTCAATCGATTTGATTTGATTCGATTCGACTCAACATGTATCGATATTTAAGGTTAGATAGTGTTTTGGTTACCTGTAATGACAACATCTGTGAGGTTGGTGCCGAAAATAAGACTGCTGAGCCTTCCACCAGGGGCATCTCTTCCCAGCCCGTATGATGGCAGAAGAGCAACATGAGGCCACTCTGATTCATCCTGTTTGTTGTTTTCAAAGATTAATCCCAAAACTCTAATTTGTCATTGTTAGTCCTTTTACTTTTAAATTTTGATTTTGATGCAAACATTAGCTATTAAATTTGATATGTCAAATTCTATTATTAGCCTTTATATCATGAGTAAGTTGTATATTTAATTTTTATTCTCCGGAAATATTATTTTTTATCTATATAACTTAATTAATTTAACCTTATATCGTATGAGTGAGGACAGTAAGATCATGAAACAATGGCCTAAAATTATGGTCATCGGGTAGTTGGTAGTTTATCTAAAGTTCGGTGTTCCACTCACACACTTTTGTATAGGATGTTAGGTAGCAATGGTCTAACATGTTTTGACTAACAGAATTGGCCGATAATTTTATGACCTAACCGAAAGCAAATATGTACAGCGTCATATGTAATAGTTCATGTGCATAAGTCAGAAACTTCAAGAAGTAGTCGGTATTTTTAAACCAGAAACCAGCAATTTCGTCAAAGGCTAGGAAGAAAAGTGAACAACTAGAAAAATTGAAGGTGAAATGTCAGCAGTTGGTAGTAGAAACCATGCAGGCTCATATTACCCATATAAATTGGTACGTAAGATTTTATATTAAGATAACGAATTTATAAAATTTTAAGAGTTAATATATTTTTAATTGTAATACAAAAAAATATTTCAAATATATAAAAAATTTAAAATTGTAAGGGAGGACGATTGTCTCCACCGTTTTTCCTCTTGTTCATCCCTGCATTTTAACTTTCAGTGTAATCTGATATTTGAGAGAATTTAAAATATTACGCCAGATTTTATAGTAAATTTGATAATAAAAAAATAAATCCATTCAAATATATGAGTTGAGTTTTGCTCCACGATTAAATTTAGACCAATTCGTTTTCTTATCTTGTATGAAATTATTTTCTTTTCACATATATTATATAATTTATATCACATAAAAATTAATTCTTCAATAATATACAAAAGAAAAATAGCACATATGAGTGTGATCAATAACTATTTTTTGTAATGAGAATTGATTTGTTAAAGTAATTTTATTTGTAAAAGTTAAATTATCAAATTATTATAAGCGAAATAATAAGAAATTTGTGAAAAAGTCTGAGGACATATGTTCAAATTTATTTAAATATTTATAAAATAATGAAAATATAAAAAAATGTTTCGAAAATGTTCATTATATTTGAAATAAGGATAAATAATATCAAACATTACAAATTATGTTAACTTGTAGGGATGGCAAACGAGTATAAATTCGTGGATTCTGCACCGTACCCGCTCCAATTGTGGTAGGATGGGTATAATTTTAGTGGGTAGTGGGCGGGTGTGGATTTAAGAAGTATTACCCATCGCGGGTAGTGGGCGGGTGATGGGTTTGAGACCTTACCCGCCCCGCATCTGCCTCACATCCGCCCGCCCACTAAATACCCATTAAATTTTGGACCATTATAAATTTAGGTATAATTTTAGAGACAAATTTATAAATCTTAATATTGTATAAGATATAACTTATAATCCTTGGTTTATTTTATTATATTTCTTAATTGACATGTTTGTTTTATGTTTGTTGCTTATGTATAACTTAAGGTTGCTGTCAGACGGGTTTAGTCGGGTACGTCTCTATTTGGGTAGTGGGTGTAGGGATGGATTTGAGAATGTACCCGCGTGGGCAGGTGTGGATTTGAAAAATTTTACCCATCATGGGTGGTGGGCGGATGGTGAATTTGAAAATATTATGTGGGTATGGGGATAGGGGATAGGGGATAGGGGATAGGGTATTCGCACCCGACCTGCCCGTTTGCCATCCCTATTAACTTGTATATGTTTAATTATTTTATAAAACTAAAAGGTACTCACAAATATTAGGTGTTAAATTAAAAATAATATAATTTTTATAAAAGTAGTGAGAGTGGATCTAAAATAAAATATAATTAATTAACTAATATTATATATGAAGGAAACTAATATTATATATGAACTAGAATTAGGTCAGACTAATGAGCACTTCTACTGGGAGTTTATTTTAGGATGAAACGTTAATCGTAGCAAAGTCCAGAGTTGAGTGAGCGAGAAATTGAAGGATGGAAATTGTACCTGAGATCCAAGAATAACAGCATCTTTATGGACAAAAAGCGTAAAATGGCTGGTGAGATTGAAGCTCCCAGTTAGCCACTTCCCCGGCGGCACAATAAGCTGTGCGCCACCGTCCGCCGCAACTTGGCTGAGATTCGTAATCGCAGCTTTGAAAGCTTCGTGTTGGAAGTTTTTCCATCGCCGATCCCGCCAAATTCCGTCAAAATCGCGCTGTGTTTGCGACAATTTAGCGCCGAAAACGTGATGCTATTCGTCACAAGCCCCACGGCTCCACATTCTACTACGTTTGATCTCAGTAATTCCCATAAATAAATGGCCGAGATGAATTTCTCAAACACCTAAAGAAATCAAGAAAACATCAATGTTTTCTGAAAAAAGGAACTTACGGAAGTGCAAAATCGTAAGGAGATACATTACCCTGGATTTTCGTGAAAACTCCATTGATGAAATGCGAGGTATAAACTTGATAATGTGAAAATATTGTGAGAAAAAAAGGATTCACGAGAAAATCATTGTTTCTTTGTGAGAACTGATTTTGTAACGTTAATTTGAAAAGGACGACGTGAATAACCTCCTTTTAGTTAATATTTATGATGGACGGTGATATCATGGTTTGCATGGCTAACGGTTCCCGTTTTGATTTGATTACTTTTCTTACAGCCGTGGGATCTAAAAACAATGTAATTAAATGCATCAAGAAGTAGGGGTTGTGTCGGAACCGTCTTTCGGGTGAACCCGAAATTAGGCTTCAACTTGAATAAAACGGATTAGAATCGTCACCGATCATTTATTTTAAAACAAATGGATTGTTCGGATACCTTATTTCTTACATGATTCGCGTCTT